TATTTTGTTATGTGAACAAAAAATGAGAAGTAATTAAAATGTTTTTGGGTGTGCAACATGTCTCATCTGCAACTAGTAGCTTACTTGAAGAGGCTATTGAGAGACTCTCTGCTACAACAAATTTGACCATGTCCAAGTTACGAGGACAAGGCTATGATGAAGCTAGTAATATGAAAGGTGTGCTAAATGGCCTTAAAACAAAAATGTTGAACAAGTATCTCAGGCATTTTATGTTCATTGTTTTGCACACCAACTTCAACTTGCTTTTGTAGCAGTTGCAAAGGGAATTGAGGGTGTCACCATTTTCTTCAACAATGCTAGTATTTTGATCAATACAATTGGATTATCGTTTAAGCGTTGTGATGCATTTAGAGAGAAACAACTAAAACAAATTAAGAAAGCTCTTGATAGTGGTGATACTTGAAACGGGTAGAGAGTTAAATCAAGAGAGTAGTCTCATGCGTCCTTGTGATACACATTGGAACTCACATTATGGTATTATAGTTAGTATTATTGTCATGTTTGAAGCAGTGGTTGAGGTACTTGAATGGATTAAAGATGATACCAACCAAGACAATTTCGGTGAAGCAAGTAAGTCATTCCATAACGTACAAACTTTTGATTTTGTGTTTCACCTTTTTTTTATGAGACTCATATTGGGAATTACAAATGAGTTATCACAAGCATTACAAAAGAAACACCAAGATATTGTGAATGCGATGGCGTTAGTGGAAGTATGCAAGCAAAGACTACAATCCTTAAGAGATGATGACTTTGGGGACTTGCTTGATGATGGTACAAAAATTTTGTGGAGCATGATATTGTTGTTCCTAACATGGAGGATTTGCATTTTGCACCCAGAAAATCAAGGTGTAAAGCTTCAAGACTCACAAGCTTCCATTACTATCGTGTGGACCTCTATTTTCAAGTCTTGATATGCAATTAAAGGAATTGAATGATCGCTTCAATAAGGTAAAACCAAGTTGCTTCTTTGTATGACATTGTTGGGGTAAAAAAATGGTTCCTCAATTCAAGGAAAGTGGAGATGTTGGTGGCAATTAAAATCCAAGGTGAAGATTAAGCAAGAAAATCTACACCGTTCATTTTTTTTAAACAAATAAAAAAATGAATTAAATCTGAAAAATTAAAGAGCCATGTTGCTGGAACGTGTGAGGAGTTGGTGAAAAACTACCCACTTTCTCACCCCACTCTTCCTGTCACCCTAAGTCTATAAAAGGGGAGATAGATTGCAAAAGCATACAAAGAAATCGACAAAAAGGGAACACAAAAAAGAAGAACAGGACACGGAGAAGACAAGCAAAGAAGAATGGACGACAAAGAAGAACAAAGCAAGAGAGCAAGGGAGAAACATAAAGATAAAGAAAGAAAGAAAGAAAGAAAGAAAAAAAAAAAAGGAGCAAAGAGTTCACGGCAAGGGGAAAACCAACAAAGCGTTAAAAAGGTAAAGATCCATTTTTGTTTTAAGTTTTTTGTTGTTAGTTTCTCTCTAATTTGTAGGAGGAAGAGAAGCATTTTGCTTCTCTCATTCCCGAAGCAAAAATAGGGTGGTGTCTTTCCTCTTGCGGATTCCCAAACAAAAAACCCAGAGAACACTTCTCTTTCCTCTCACCAAAGGTAGCAAAGGTAGCAGCAAACCAAGGACGAAGAATAAAAAAGAATAGAAAACTAGATTTTAATTCTTAAATAAGATGAAGTTTAGAAAAATGTCTTATACAAGATTAAAAATCGATTTTAGTCCCAAAACTTTATTTAATGCTAGCATATTAAATGTCTTTCTTTTTTATTTATAATTTTATGGTGTTCATAAATTAAATTTTATAAAAATATTATAAATTTTAATTCTCATTGTGGTAAGTATCTTATATAAGAAAATATTTTCGTAAAGATTTTTCGGTACATATGTTTTTGCATATTTTCTTATGTGCCACTTATTCATTACAATATATTTAGGCACAAACATTTTGTTATACTAGGTTAGTATAATATGTTTAGGTATGGATATTTCGGTACACTAGTTTATTATAATATATTTAGGTACCGACATTTTGGTACATTAGTTTAATATCATATATTTTGGTAATGAATTTTTCGATACACATGTTCTTGCATATTTTCTTATGTGCCACTAATTCACTACAATATATTTAGGTACAGACATTTTGGTATAGTAATTTAGTAAAATATATTAGGGTAAATTATAAAAAAACTACCTCAACTATTGGTGTCACAACACTTTCATACCTCATCTTTTAAAATTAACAATGTCATATCTCATCTTATGAATTTGTGCCAATGTCAAACCTCCGTCAGTTTTTCTGTTAATTTCTATGTTAAATGCTGACGTGGCTAGAGACGGGACCCATTTTTTTATTAAAAATAATTAATATTAAAATATTAATAAAATTAAAAACAAAAAAAAAAAACCATCAACCCGGGTCCTCCCTTCCCAGATCCCCTTCTCTCCCACCCAACCTTCTCTCTCTCCTCTCTCTCTCTCTCTCTCTCTTGCCTCTCTCTCTTCTCTCTCCCTACAACTTGCATCCCTAAAACCCAAACCCCAGAAACCCTTCCCATCCGTCCCTCCCCTAACCTTCCTCTCCGATCCCACCAACGACAACCCTACATCTATCATTGACTCTAGCAATAACAACCACGACCCCCAATCGCCCCCAAACCCTAACTCTAGACACAACCTCCACAACAACATTCCCTTCTCCTCTTCGCCCTCGAAGTCTGCCCTTTGGCGCCCCGCTCGCCTCCGTCGCTCTTCCACGTCTGCTTTAACCAAGACCAGGCCTGCTTCGCCGTGGGGACGAACCACGGGTTCCAAATCTACAATTGCTACCCATTCTGCGAGCTCTTCCGTTGCGACTTCGACAACGGCAGCGGAATCGGCGTCATCGAGATGCTATTTCGTTAAGACGATCACAAACCCCAAGAGGCTGTGGCGGTGTCGCAGGTGGCGGGGTCACTAGGTGCTAGTGTGCCCTGGCTTGCAGAAGGGGTAGGTTAGGGTGGAGCATTACAGGTCAGGTGGGAAGGGTTTTTGGGTTTTGGGATTTTAGGGATGCAGGTTGTAGGGAGAGAGAAGAGAGAGAAAGAGAAAGAGAGAAAAGAGAAGGTTAGGTGGGAGAGAAGGGGATCTAGGGAGGGGGGACACGGGTTGATGGATTTTTTTTGGTTTTTTGTTTTTTTTTTAATTTTTTTAATTTTTAATTAATTTTTTAATAAAAAATGGGTCTCATTTCTAGCCACGTCAATACTTAACGGAAAAATTAACAAAAAAACTGATGGAAGTCTGACATTGGCACAAATTCGTAAAATGAGGAACGGTATGATCAATTTTAAAAGATAAGGTATGAAAATATCGTGATACTAATAATTGAGATAGTTTTTTGTCATTTACCCAATATATTATAATACAGACGTTTAGGTACACCAATTAAAATGTGTATAATAATAAATAATTTAAATTTTAATATAATGACATTAAATAAGATATCTATTAAATTTTAAAACAAAAATATAATATAAATTTGGATTAAGTACACATTAGATGACTAAAATCAATATCAATCTAACACCAAGTTTTTATTGAATTTTAATATTCTTCAAGGACCTGCATAAAAATAAGTGTAGCCTCGTCTCCATTCTCCGCCACCTCTGCAAAACCCATTAATGTACCGCTCAGATCTCGGATTAGGAAGCACAGAAGCCTCCCTTTCCTTCGCTGCCATGCCACCAACGGGAGTCAGGTTCGTGTGGAAGAATTGTGCCAACCCACTGTGCCCGATTATGGCTCCGAAGCGCTTTCTCTTTTCGCGGCAAACTGGAACCAAAAGGGGGCTTTCTCGCCTGAACTTTGATAACAGGTCGCAGTCACTGAATATCGACGCTTCAACAACATCGACAGCAACACCGCAAGCAGTCACGCCATTCCTGGAACCGTTCTTCGATCTGTGAGCCCAGCAACCGCAGTATGCTCCCTTTTCTCATCGACGGCAGGAAAGAAGGTGGTCACTGACGGAGTCCTCCGCCTCAAGAATGACAGCCCCTGTCCCGGTGCAAATGGATATTCTCTCTCGCTTTGCGTTCTTTTAACTTCGCCCCTCCCTTGTCAATTCATGGCTTCGCCACTGGTGAATTATGCGCAGAAGGTGGAGTAGGGATCGTCTTCAGGAACCAGGAGGGTGAGTTTGTGGCTGGACTCTCAGTCCACATTGCATATGCTGCCTCTCCGTTGCAGGTGGAGTTGTTGGCAGCTAGAAGGGCTCTATTGTTTGCCAAGGAGTTGATCCTAGATGGGGGGCTGTGTATTTTGAAGAGATTCTGCTATTGTTCTCGCTGCCATGAAGAGACAAGAAGAGATGTGTCCACTATGGGACCAATTATCAATGACATTAGGCGGCTGTTACTTTCATTTCCAGGGTGAGAGCTTCCCACGTTCAACAGGAAGCCAATCCGGTGGCACATCACCTAGCACGCGAAGGAATTGGTAGTGATACTGAGATGGTGTGGTTTGAAGATCCGCCGGATTTAATTATAGATGCTTTGTTGGAAGATTGTCCTAGATAGTAATTGATTTGATTGTACTTTTAGGAGGATAGTTCTCTTTGTTTGAATGTGCGGGACACTCTTTTTCCCTTTGGTCGGGTTGTAAATCCCTGACAAGGTTTTATCGAGGTCCAGTATGCACCCTATCCTCCATATTTGTGTACGTGTTCTCTTCTTAATGAATATCATCTTTTCCCTAAAAAAAAAAATATTTATACAAATAATAATAATAAATTAGAATAATGAAAAAGTCAAAATCAAGCAAGAGAAGGTAACATATTTTTCCACAATTGGCAGCTTATTGAATTTCTTTTTTTATAAAGACAAACCGAAATTTATTAGATGTACGAACAGTAAGTTGACTAATGGTAATTAATTACTATATGAAATCTTATTTATCAAATCATCAAATACAAGATTCCGGAGTTTATTAGACTTCAAAGTTGACAACCGACCGGTAAGTCTGGCCTGGTTGCCAACCAGTCGGAATAACATTGTTTGCTACAAGGGACTGGCCGTTGCTTGCAGTCAGCCTAATTGATAATGGGGCTTGCAATGCTGAGCCTGAGTTTAGTTTCCAAACTGCACCCCACGATTCCTGCATGGAGAGCCACGAGTCCGAGTCATCATTTTGTTTGAGGTGAACTTCCATTAGGTCGCTTGCTCCATCTTCATATTCTATTAGAGTTGCAAAATAGTAAGGGTCTGAACCCGAGTCGACGCGGAAGGTTATTGTCACACCAGGATAACTGCAGTTCACTCTGTTATAGCAAAGTTATACATTATGTAAAGATTAGAACATTAGAACAATCTTAAGGTTAAAAAGATTGGAATAATAGAGTTATTACTTCTTAGCCGTAGGGACTTGTACAAATATAGAAAATAGGGGATCAGTATCATTTAATAGCATCTCGTAATTAGTGATTTGAATAACTTTTGATAACATAATTAGCCAGATAACATGTCAGACTATTTGGTAAGAGGGCGTACTTTGACATCATATTCAACATTCTATTTAATACCTTTTGTATTGAATCTGCAAGACTCCAGCATTCCGCAATTGACCCTCTTGACCAGAAATCGCCATGGCACCGAAGGCAGTGCCACTCATATCAAAATGAACAGATTCTGAAGTACATCCTGGGCACTCATCAGTTAGAATCACAGTTGCCGGATTGCCTGAGCATGCAGAATTCCCCGTGCACTTCACCTGCAATTAGGGCCAGCTCAGAAGTTAATTAATTTAAGCTTCTTTTACTCATTTTGATAGTTGAGATATAATTTTCTGTATATTCTCGCCTGAGTAAGAATAGTGAATTTCTATTAATATGTGTCACAACTTTTACATGCCCCACTATATAATTTTAACCTGATAACAAGCTCCACATCCTTTTCCTGATTTGAATAAAGAAGGGCCTCCAGCGGACACCAATTTAGAGAATGGAGGGTTTTCTACAGTATCCAGATAACCACAAGCACCCCCTACACAAAACATAAGAAAAACATTTTTTCAGTATATCACATCCCCAAGTAATGTGACAATCAATTACATATGTGAATATACGAATAAGTGACCAATATATAGAAATTTGGTATATAAATTCTTTACCATCAGTCCCAGCACCGTCAGCGGGTCCATACCAAGTTGCACCGGCCGGTGACCAGTCAGAGTCAGACTGAAGCTTTGAGACGTTAAAGAGTTTTGGGTTGAAGCAACAACTAGGGTTTAGGTTTAGTAGAATAGAAAACAAGGTTACAAGAGTACTGATATACAATGAATTATGTTGAAGAAAAAGAGCCATGATCACGCTGCTAAATTAAAGAAAGGAACGCTACTTAAACCAGTGGCAATTTATGTCTTTGTATTCTTGCGATATTTTGATTTGGAAGGATGAAGAATGTGGCTACTGGGCTGGTAGTTATAGAGACTGAAGCACTGACGTAGGCTTAGTAATGGCTCGTGTGATTATTTATTTATCGAGTATTGATTATTTATTTTCTTACGAAACAAGCAAAGCCTAATTAAATATCTTAATATAAAGGGCAAGTCAGTTCGTTTTTCTAATGAGAAACATCTCATTCACGTATATTCTTTAGGTTCTTATATATTAGGTTCGTAAGTTACGGGACATGGCTATATTTCTCCTTATCCTAGATTTTCATGATATCATCATATTTCATTGTTGGGAGATATTATAATTTTCTTTCAACATTATGGAGCATATGGAAATTTAAGCCTTGCGACCTCGATACACCATTTGAAACTTTCGTTGATATAGCTTCTACTGAGAGAGCAATCAATTAATGACTTGCAATCATTTTAAAATGGGTTGTAAGAGAACTAATTAACGGCTTACAATCATCTGTGTGTGTGTAACTAGCAAAATTCCTATAATTTGGGGGAAAAAAAAAACTATCTACATTATATTTAGATCTCCCACTTTATGATATCCTTACACGATTTTTACAATTACAAGTGAACACGGTTTAAGCAAATAAGTGGTCACAAATATGGGGAAACTTTTACATACGTAGAAGTTCTAAGGAAAAGAAATAGAACTCCCAAATGAAGCATAAAATTGATTTCCAAAGCTTTTCTCCCAGCCAAAGAATCCATTCGTGACAGAATGCTCATTTCCCATGATGTGAACTACGTTGTATTGATTTAATTCATCACTTGCTATGTACCACATATTATGTGCGGCATGGGTCATATTTGGTGTGGGCAAGATGGGTAAGCAAGAAAGCAAACTTAGGGGGTGTATTCAGTTGAGATTTTGAAGGATTTTAATCAGTAGAAATCTAAATGTATTCAATTAGGATTGTAAAGAAGTTTATAACATTATACAAAGAATGGAGTGTATTCGGTAAAATCGGGGTACGTGGTTGCTCAAGAGATGAATCGAAATGGGAGCTCAGTCGTAAAGGTGTGGGACAATCAAGTGCCGATCAAAATCAGTATCTGGTTTGGTCGGAAATTTGGCACTTGGAGGTCCTTCCAAAGTTGCGACATTTTATATGAAAGGGATGCAAAAACATTCTTGCAGTGCGTACTAATTGCAACGTCATGGTGTCTGTTTGGAGACGATATCTCTGCATTGTGAGGAAGCTACGGAAACGCAAGTACATTTATTTTTCCATTGTCCGTTTGCCCGTGTTTTTTGGTTTGGATCTCCAATCCAATTGGATTCGGCAATGGTGGAGGGTGGTGACTTCCTGGAGTGTTGGCAATGGTTTTGTCGTAAATATGACGATATTAAGGATGCCGGAAAACTAAAGCGTTGGATTGTATGTGGTCTTTGGTGAATATGGAAGTGTGGAGATAGTGTGATTTTTGAAAAGCTTGCCCTGGAGCCTCGTGTAGCTTTGGAGCTCTTGCACCAAGGCGTAAGATTGAGAAGTGTGGTGGGGACAAAGTGATGCAACCATGCTTTCAGGTTCAAGGACGTGGGGAGATCGGTGGCGGGTGGACTAAGCCTCCGTTTTAAACAATTAAATTAAATTGTGATAGGGCTTGGTGTAAGCAAACTGGGCAGGGTGGCTTTGGGTGGGTTGCCAGACTGGTATTCAAAGAAGCTGGAGGGGCGGGAAACTTTCTATGTGAGTCCAGTTTGACGGCGGACGTGGAAGCGATAAGGGCGGCTTTGTTGGCTTGTGTGGAGAAGGCTTTGGGATTGTTCAATTCGAAACAAATTCAAAGGTTATGGTAGACATGTTAAATGGAGTATTGCAACCGAATGCCGTCATTGAAGGTATTCTTTGGGATATTTAGTATCTAAAGCAGCAATTAAGTTTGGTTGAGTTTATTTTCACTCCTCGTGCCTGTAATGGTGATGCGCATCAGGTGGCGTCTTATTCACGCGTGTGGGGGCCTATCATATGTGGGATTGCTTTGAACTGGAGTGGTTGTTTAACTTTCTGGCTTCTCATGTAAACATTTCAATTCGTATCAAATAATATTTACTCAATGACAAAAAAAAAAAAAAAAAAATTAGGAATTCATTTTAAAGAATTTTAAAAAGTTGAGGAAGTAGAGGGAATTGGTGAGATTTTTTAGTGTATTTTAAGCATTCACAAATCTCACCTCTCTCCATGAGATTTCGAGGGAATTGAATCAAAATTTTACATAAAATCTTTACAAATCAATTAAACTCCATCAAAATCCATGAATTTATAAATTGCTCAAAATCCCAATTAAATACACTAACGAAAAAATAGCTATCATAGAATCCATCTATGTCGTATATAGGAAGTATAAGATAGAAGTATTCCATGTGTAGAGTTATAGACAAATCATACAAATCTTACTTTTTCCTTAAAAGATTGCATTAATTTCTCTATACCTCATGTTAAAAGTATTTCATGCATTTGAGTTGTTTGGATGGACACTAATTTTCATGTGGAACAGTGGAAAACAATTTTTGCTATAAAAAGAATAAAAATTCCCTAATTTGTTGTAATTTGAATTCCATACAAATCCGTTGAGGATGGCAGAACTACAATCTTCAGATTTCCAACAAAATACTTTCCAAGATCAAGGAATATTAAAAGAATTGATTTTCACACACATTTTTTAGTTTTTCATATACACCTTTTATTTGTGGTCATAGGATTGAATAAATCAAATGAAATAAACCACCAAATAAAATGTCTATACGAAGCTAAAAGGGCATATGAAAATTATTTTTAATTATTAAAAGAGAGGACAATACAAAGAAACAATGAGATTTTGCATCTATTTTAGTTCTCCATTTTTTTTTTTTTTTTTATTTTATGAATATCTAGTTTTTTATGCACTCTAAGATCCTTTTCCAAACATACTCCCATTTTGAGTTAAGAGATAGATAAATAGAAACATCTCATTGTCGGCGTTCTTAGTGATTAAGGGGGTCAAAGACTAAAAAGTGGGCTATTTATCATACAAGCATTATTCTTACAGCTAAATCTAAACTCCTAGTCTCTGAGGAAAGAAAAAAGAATTTCACGTTCTTCCTTTTGGGTAAGTAATGATTAGAAAAATCTTATTGATTACAGCTTTCTTTAGACCTCTACGAAAAGCATGAAAAAATAAGGCTTAAATGGTACGATCCTTCCATCACCCAAAAATGAAACATGTGATCTTGTAGTTCTTGGCCTGTGAAGATAAGTTGTTAGGTGCTCTGTTTTATTTTCCAATTAGATCGAAGCTAAACTTGTGGTCAAGAGATAGAGATATATGTCCATATATTGATAAGGGATGTATGGATTTTCAAGAGGAAATGAGTTGTCGTGGTAGATTTTAAAGATGAGATGAGTCGTGGTGGTCCCTCTTGGTCTACCTGGATCCCATGAGTGAATAGAAAATTGGATTTACATTAGCATCTCACCTGAAACGCTCCATCTATCCTCCTGAGTAGAAGTTTGATTTCAAACCTCGGTTCAAATAGGAAAAGTAGTCATTCTAATGGCCTTAGATGATCCACATCTTAGGGTCATGGGCTGATGAACGCATTGAACTATCCATGTGGCTAAGAGTCTTCACAACCTAGGCACAATGATGAAATTATCAGGGGCGCACTCTACCATCGAGCTCATAGCTTGCGGTGCTGGCCTCCTACTGAGGGACCACTATGCCCAAAGCGAGAGATGCCCCACCCTTTTTTTTTTCCTTTTTACACCCCTCCCCCACGTCGGCACACAAAAAGGACATTCAGGATGTAAAAAATAGATCCTATCGACTTGTTCTGACCTTGGATAATATGCTCATGAGCTTAGTCTTACTTTAGTGTCAAAATACAAAAGAAAACTTTCGTCATCTAGTTTAACTTAGACATAACTTGCTTCTTTTTAGGTGTGAAGTAGTGTCAAGCCAAAATACTCAACAAGCATTAGCTCTACTTGAAAAGGATGTGATCTAGCGGCACCTTCAATACGACTACCTTGCTACGACTTCACTGCAGTCACTAGCCCTGCCATCAGTATCAAACCATCGTTACATTGGATGATTTGAGATTTTGAATAAGACGACCTTTTCATTTTTTGTCATTTCGAAAAAGTAATAAAAATGAGAGGTGTTAAGCTTTTTATCATCCTAGTGTCGAGCTATTTTTCCGCAGGGCCTCCCCTATAGTATTGCCACAACAATACATATCAAAAGTACAATTAGGTTAAAAGTCAAACAAGATCTCAATGTATTTAATTAATGAGTGCAACTTTGCTCATCCTCCTTCAAAAGTGGAGGTGATGGTCACTTCCGTAGATGATCTAATTAATTTGAGACACGAATCTTAAAATTTAAACTAATTTAACGATAAACAATGAAAGAATTGAGCATCACTCATTTTACGGGGTGAGCAAACATGAGTAAAATATATAAACCCTTTTCATTAATTTTGACTGTAAAATTTTCATGCAAATAGGTTGCAACAAAGTCGTTGTTCAATGAGTAAAATATATAAACCCTTTTCATTTTTGTTGAATAAATTAAACCGTAGTTACTTAGTGGGTCCATGTAGATTCGGACCCACAAGATGATATGCAGTCATTGCAAAGAAGATCCTAATTTCAAGCCCAAGGTACAAGATTTCCGTTGTTTTGGTTTTTACGTGGGGTGAAAGCGAAATAGTTCGTTGATGCAGCCGTTAATGGTGGTTGTCGACAGTTGAAAATCGATCACAGTCCGACACGTCATGTACAATGATATCACACGGTCGGAAATATAGCCATTCCTCCACGTGCGTCTTCACATCATCCAGTTCATGTATAACGTGGAACTTGATATATGGCGAAATTTGTGCACATAATTCTTTTATTTATTTTTTAA